AAAAAAAAAAAAATAGAGTATGAAAAATTAGAAATTAAGAAAGCCGGTAAAAAAAAAAAAAAAAAAAAAAAAAAATGTTAAAATATCTGGAACAAAACAATCAAAAAATTTGGCTTTCGTGTAGCAAACAGCTATGGAGTGCTATAAAAAAAAATTTGGCTACAAGCTGTACAAGGACCATAAGTGACACTAGTGAATTGCTAAATAAAACTAACATTGAAGAGTCTCTTAATGGGGTTAATAACTATTTTGCTAATGTAGGAAAAAAAAAAAAAAAAAAAAAAACAAAAAAATCTTGCCTCAAAATTCACTTCTGTTTCACGGGCAAGTGCGATGTCTCTGCTAGTGAAAGCTCTGCCCTCTGTCCGTGAGTCTTTTGTATTTCTAGATACTGATTCTAATGAGATAAAGAGACTTATAATGGAATTAAAAAAAAAAAAAAAAAAAAAAAAAAAAAAAAAAAAAAAAAAAAAAAAAAAAAAAAAAAAAAAAAAAAGACGCAGTGATAAAATATGTACAATCCCAGCATTTAAACATATCTTCACAAATAGATTCTTTTGTTACCTTGGTCGGCATTTATATAATAAACTTAATAGAATTCTTAATATATATCCTTTAAATAGAAAAGAGTGTAGGGACAGAGTGGTAGACTGGTTGAAAGAAAAGAACTACGGTGAGACGGAAAATCTATTAAAAAATGAAATATAATAAAAATACAACTACTACTAAATACTACTAATAGATACAGAAATTAAAATAATATTGTACAATTAAATTCAAGATAAACCTTTAAATTATTTAAATAATATTACAAGTAACATACAAATAATTTTACACACTCTCCCACACACATACATTCAAATTACACTCTACACACAGGGAGCACATTATTTCACAATTTTCATTATTGCCAATTGTTATAATTAGATATACTAACTTTATATAAAATCAATATTCTATATGTAGCACTAAAAATTTAGCTGAACTAACATTATACTATGTAATGAGGGTTGAGCGCTGTTGTCTGAGATACAGGTTTTATAACCTAGTTCAGACACAGATGTTTAAACTGATCCAAATGTACAAATGAATTCGTATCTACTTTTACTGTAATTTCCAGTGCTGAGTTTGTTAAAATCATGGTTATGCAATAAAGTTATTATTATTATTATTATTATCTGCTATTATGAGAACATTGGGCTTACACCATAATATCTGCAGTGGGTTACATTAATATGTCATAACAGTTATTGAATACTCACTTTTCATATTGTAGTTATTGACTCAACACTAAGGATTACAGACAAGAAAAAAAAAAAAAAAAAAAAAAAAAAAAAAAAAAAAAAAAAAAAAAAAAATTGTCCTTATGTTTTTTTTAATGGGTGAAAATGAAATAGTGACCTTGCCTGCGTTATCGGTATATATTGGCGAGGCACCAGTGATAGGTGAGGATGAAAGCAGGTCAGTTAGCCCATCGTGAGGAATCCATCCAGGTATCCAAGGTGAACCGCGTGGTGGTCGACCTGACAGGGTACTGCTAGCAATGAAGCTGTTAGACCCCATTACTAACGATTCTTTCCCTCCCTATATGTCATTCTACTATGTCATTATATTAGATGGAATGGACAATTGATCAATCTGTACAAATATGTGAATTGTAATGAACAGCACAAATAAATATATTGATAATAATACTAGCATATCTCTACAGCGGCCCATTAGCGGCGGACGCTACATAAAAAGATAAATTAGTATTCTATATTAGCTTTAATAGACACATTTTTGAAATATCGGACTACATCATTTATAGTGTAAACAGAAATAAAAAAAAAATCCCTTCGAATATTACAATAATAAAAAAAAAATAAAAAATAAATAAATAAATAAATAAAGTACATATATTACATGAAGTCAACAGACGGCATTTTTACTAACTATTAATATAATTAATAAATAATAAAAAGAACTAGCACATTTTACAAATATTTGAGATTTGAGATTTTTTTTAAGTTTATTCATTACTAGCGACCCGTCCCGGCTTCGCGCGGGTATCATGTCACATTAGAGACCTCTAAATTTATCAGTGTTTCTCTACAACATTATGCATGTATCATACATATAAACCTTCCTTTATTTATCACTTTATGTATTAAAAAAAAAAAGAAAATACCGCTTCAAAATCTGTTGCGTAGTTTTATAGATTTAAGCATACATAGGAACGGACAGACAACAACAGTGACTTTGTTTTATACTATGTAGTGATGATAAACAAACATAAAAAACTTTTCTCTTTTTAAACGGTTTTATTTAGCTCGACCTGTACGGTATTTATTTATTTGGGTCAAAATTAGAAATTGGAATTTAAGCACCTTCCCGTTGTCAGATTGATCTGAAATTTGGTACACACATTTAATTTAGATGACAATACAATATAATAAAATCAATAACATTATAAATCTAAGATGGCCGCCGATACAAAATGGCGGATTACATATTTTTCCTTAACCCCCGCAATATGGGTATCAAATGAAAGGGCTACACTAGTAAAACACGATGATTATGTCAAAATTAAAATTCAAGATGGAAGCCGTTCCAATATGGCGGACTAGGTACATATTTTTTCACAACCACCACAATATGGGTATCAAATAATATGACTACACTGCACAATACTGTCATTATGCCAAAATTTCAAATTCAAGATGGACGCTGTTACAAAATGGCGTATTAGGTGGGGGCATGATTAGTCGTATCGAGAACAGTTGCGTCTAAGATTGTGTGACGTTAGAGGGGCAGATAAAAAAAAAAAAAAAAAAAAAAAAAAAAAAAAAAAAAAAAATAGGTAATTAGATACCTCGTTAGTAAGCGGTAGTTATACCACCCAAGTTAAGGTAATAGGTAAAAACGTGCCGAGGACTGTATGGCATTAGGGTGGATAAAAATGTAATGTCGTAAGCGCTTCCCCCTCAAGATTGGGCGCATCTTGTTGTATATTAAGCCTTGCCCCTTTACTGGACTGCGGGGGGGGGGGGGGGGGGGGGGGGGGGGGAGGTCGACCGTCAAAATGCCCCTTAATCGTGGGAACAACATGGTAACAATAAACAAAAAATACCAACAAATATAAATAAGACTGGAGGCTTACCATCAGTACTTGAAATATTTGTAGGTGCAAAAGTAATGTTGCGGTCCAACATTGACGTTACAAAAGGATTGGCAAATGACGCTATAGGCCACATTACAGAAATTTTTTGGCCTCAGTTCCGTCGAACCCAAATGTACTAAACAGATATATCATCAGTTTTAATTGACTTTGGCACAGACGGCATGCACGTTATTTACCCTAAAGCCATACAGTTTCCAGCAAAATTCAATTATGGTACGGCTGAAAAAAGGATGTTGCCCTTAGTTTTGTCATGAGCATTCACCGTCCATAAAATGCAGGGCAGCACCGTCGACCATGCAGTAGTATATTTGGCCTCAAAATGGTTTGAGGAAGGACAAGCATACGTGGCTCTAAGTCGAGTCAAGTCTCTGGAAGGGCTATGTATTGAGGAATTAGATTGTACTTAATTATCAGGTAAGAAGCCATGTAATAATGATGCACTGAATGAATTAAATAGAATGAGGAATATTCGGTAAACAATTTCACTAAATACTAAAAACAAGAAAATAAAAATCGGTAAAAAAACTTTTAAGTTAAACGGTTTTATTTTATGTGCACTGAAAACTACAAAATAAATAAATAGTTACTTACCTATCAACCTACGTAGGTGATCTCGGTCATTAATATCTCTGATGGTAGTGGTTGTCATAACATGAACCATGTCAGCGGCCGAAAGGCAGTTCATGAGAGAACACTAATACCAGGATTTGCTTGGTAGGTAAACTAAGCAGCCCACACTATAACAAGTAGGTATTTTGACCTTCTAGTTCAGAAATATTTTAGTACTAGGCAGAATAGCTTTTAGGAATATTAGACTAAAATAAAAACGTGGGGCCCCTCTGAAATCATACCTATAGCAGAGCATATCTTATACTTTGGTAGATCATGAGCTCGGCGTTCGCTGGTGAAGCCGTAACGGCTGGTTATTGATGGTCAAAACCTCCAGTTACGATTATAGTAAGTCGATTCAGCGGACCCTGGACTCCGGAGCTATGAGGTTTCGGATGCGACCGGGATAAACCGCTAGGATGATGATGATGACGATTATAATAAGTCGATGCAATCCACACTTAGTATAGTAGAAAGTAATACAGAAATAGTTAATGGGCCCCACGTTTTTATTTTAGTCTAATATGCCTAAAAGCTATTCTACCTAGTACTAAAATATTTCTGAACTAGAAGGTCAAAATACCTACTTGTTATAGTGTGGGCTGCTTAGTTTACCTACCAAGCAAACCCTGGTATTAGTGTTCTCTCATGAACTGCCTTTCGGCCGCTGACATGGTTCATGTTATGACAACCACTACCATCAGAGATATTAATGACCGAGATCACCTACGTAGGTTGATAGGTAAGTAACTATTTATTTATTTTGTAGTTTTCAGTGCACATAAAATAAAACCGTTTAACTTAAAAGTTTTTTTACCGATTTTTATTAATATTAGTAATAAATAAAATTAATTTCTCCATATTTAGAAATAATAGAATATCATAGTATCTCTGATCAAACTGTTGATTAGAGATCCACTCTACTCAATCCAAGGGTTCCTGGAAGAGATCGCTTTTAGCGATAAGGTCGCCTATTGTTTTCTCATTGTGATTATTTCTTGTAATAAGTTTACTATTGTAATGTTTTGAAGGAAAGAATAAAGAGTATCTATCTATCTATCTATTAATTGAACGTGAATTGGCTATCAATCGGTGGCGGCCGCATTCGATTACTTCCGCGCTATTAGTAGATGGTCTAATTGTAAACGCATCCAGCGACTCGGCGTTCCAATCTATTTTCCGATCAGTGCCGATGTAATTGACTTGCGACAGTGGGATGATGTTCATAAATGGTAGTCGCGAGCGCATATAGACGCAGGGCGACGACTCTCCTTGTAGGGGCTGCTGCAGGTGCCAAGCGGCAGCCGGGCCGGGCGCTGCCAGCTATATAGCGCGGCCGGCGCCGCTCGCCGCCACTACCGCCGCACCCGCTGCCCGCTACGCGCTGTGAGAAACACTTTTTTATTTGCTTCATTTCTTTTTTTATTTCTTCTATCGTACGGATTGTTCTATTTACCAGTATATAATTTTCATTAAAAAAAATTGATTTCAAATAGATGCTTAAAAAAAAAAACAGTATATAATAAAATGTTATACATATGAAGAGTAAAATAAGTGGTTTTGTGTTTCAGATAACAGCGATTTCGTGTTGTGTGCATTGTGCGAGTGTAGTCAGCAAGAATGTGTGACGACGATGCGGGCGCGCTGGTGGTCGACAACGGCTCCGGCATGTGCAAGGCCGGCTTCGCGGGGGACGACGCGCCGCGCGCCGTGTTCCCTTCCATCGTCGGCCGCCCACGCCACCAAGGCGTCATGGTGGGCATGGGACAGAAAGACTCTTATGTCGGGGACGAAGCTCAGAGTAAGAGAGGTATCCTGACATTCAAGTACCCGATCGAACACGGTATCGTTACTAACTGGGACGACATGGAGAAAATTTGGCATCACACTTTCTACAACGAATTGCGTGTCGCTCCCGAGGAACACCCCGTTCTCCTGACTGAGGCCCCGCTCAACCCCAAGGCCAACCGTGAGAAGATGACACAGGTTATGTTTGAAACGTTCAATTGCCCGGCCATGTACGTCGCGATCCAAGCGGTGCTGTCACTGTACGCCTCCGGCCGTACTACTGGCATCGTGCTGGATTCGGGCGACGGTGTTTCCCATACCGTACCTATTTACGAAGGCTACGCATTACCTCATGCTATACTCCGATTGGACTTGGCCGGACGAGACCTGACTGATTACCTCATGAAAATTCTCACCGAGAGAGGCTATTCATTCACTACAACGGCAGAGAGAGAAATCGTGCGTGACATAAAAGAGAAACTGTGCTATGTTGCGCTGGACTTTGAGCAGGAGATGCAGACCGCGGCCGCGTCCACCTCGCTGGAGAAGTCGTACGAACTGCCCGATGGTCAAGTAATCACGATCGGAAACGAAAGGTTTAGATGTCCCGAAGCGCTATTCCAGCCTTCTTTCTTGGGTATGGAATCTTGCGGCCTTCACGAGACGACCTACAACTCGATCATGAAGTGCGACGTCGACATCCGTAAGGATCTGTACGCCAACACTGTCCTCTCCGGCGGAACCACCATGTACCCCGGTATTGCTGATCGTATGCAAAAGGAAATCACCGCTCTGGCGCCCTCCACCATTAAAATCAAAATTATTGCACCTCCTGAGAGGAAGTATTCCGTGTGGATCGGCGGATCTATCCTGGCTTCATTGTCTACTTTCCAGCAGATGTGGATTTCTAAGCAGGAATATGACGAGTCGGGCCCTGGCATTGTACACCGCAAATGCTTCTAAACGTAGCTGGAGCCAGCGGGGCCCGGCGGCGGCGGTCGCTCGACATCGTCACCTCCCAGCGAGCCGTCCTCCCTCTGTGGAGTGCGCACTCACACCGCTCGTGTTATTATAATTTTTATGCGAATTTTGTACTTTCATTTATCAAATTGTATTTATTTTATACTTTTTGTTGGAGACTGCGCGCACTTGCGTTATCGTGTAAGTGAAGTACTTTAAGTTTATGTCGTGTAATTATAATTTTGTTACTGATGATGTAATTTTATTGTGACGTCTGCTTTGCATATTTAAATAGATACTTCTTCTAACATCCTACTACTACTCCTATCCTATACTCGTGAATGTAAAAGTTTGTGACAATGTATGTATCGATAGATGCTGGTACTCTCTCTTTTACGTAAAAATTACTGAACGGAATTGAATGAAATTTAACACACGGATGGATTATATTCCACCTTTACATTATATAGATAGAGTATCGAGCCATAAAAAAGACCGTTTTGTTAGCATTATCAAATTAGCTGACTCGTTTTTTATTAGTATACTCATAAAATGTATCTTGACGTATTATTTAATAAATAAAATGAGTGTTTACGCATTAAAGAGATGCAGAATTTATAAGACAAAATAAATATAGAAGTTATTAAAGGAATCACTCATAACTATTTATCACGCAAATATGTATAAAAAGGTTGATCCGTTTTTAAGGAGATACTCTATCTATATAATCTAGCATCTTACCTTAAAACATAGCATACAGCTAATGTAAGATATAATCGCAATCGTTAGCATCCGACTAAGAGAGATTTTTGTCAGAAAAAAATAACATTTTCTAAAAGGATTTGGATCGAAAAATGACAGAAATGTGTGAGCTTGTTCTGCAGTTGGTCCCTCTGAGTCAGTATCAATTATATCTACAATGGGAGTTTGAGAATTTTTTGTCGTCATAAATCTATATTACTTGAGTAAAAATTTTCACTATCAGAACGGAAATCTATCTATCTATCATTATCAACGAAAATTCTCATGAAAAATATCATACTTCATGAAGTGGTACATTTAGAAGTTTATATTTTTAGGCCTATGGAGAGATTGACCCGCATTAGCACAGATATGGGTGGTGAGCTCTTAGGTCAGCAATGTAACACAGTGTCGGCACTCAGTGGACGCGGCTCGGTGCGTGACAATAATTTTGGCGTCCTTATATGGCGGCAGCGAGTGGTTCGATTGGCGAGTATAAATAAACACAAGTGCCGATCGACGAGTGCCGTTTAATTTAGTACCGATGCAAATGCCAATTATATTGTGTAGCGAGCTACCTGCGCTGTTATGTACATAGAGATGTCAGGTGACACTGCAAGCCAGCTCTAACACTTTCACATGGTTTTTTTGATGGGTGAAAATGGTATGGTAACCCCGCCTGCGCTAACGGGATACGCTGGCCGACTACCAGTGAAGAGTGATAGATGAGAATGAAAACAGGCCAGTTAGTCCATTATGATGAATTCATCAGGAATTAACCCATTCAATACGGCGGCCATATTGAGATCCCTATGCAGTATACGGCTTAGTTTTTCATAAACGGCCGTCACTGACGGCACAACTTTTTCTACGTATATGGCTTAGTTAATTGTTAGGAGTGACTGCCAGTAAATAACGGGCTTCCACAAGTGACTGGAACGGTCTAAAGCACGTTTGAAACTAAAGGTATAACATTGGAGAGCGCCCTGGCGCGCTCTCCGTATTGAATGGGTTAACCATGATAGTTTCCAGAGGAAACCACGAGGAGGTCGACCTGGGCGAAGCCACGGGATACAGCTAGAATTATTATAAAGTAGTACTGTAATTTATTAAAGTACCAAAATGTTTATAACAAAATAAATTAAGACAATTGCCGCGTGGTCCCGGCATAGAATGAGCCATCTCTTCTATTGCCGTGCGTGTTGTAAGAGGCGGATTAAGACAACTTAATGGTCGAGATTTGGGCAGCAGCGTCCCTTTTAAAACAGCACCAAAAACCAAACTGCGGCAACTAGTGGCGAAATCCCCCCACCTGCCATAAGGAACAGACTCGTTTCTTAAGTCAGTCTTTGGGAAAGGATTAAGTTAAGCAGTGGACAGATGACAGCTGATGTGATGATGACGAAATCAATTCGACGATACTATTTTCTGTCTGTATGTCGCACTATATCATTGCTGATTGTAATTTTAATTTATAATTGCATGAATTTTATTTATTTTTTGAAATCGATAGAGCTCTCCCCCTGTCGGCCTCATGTTCTTATTGTTCCGATTGAAGTCAGGAATTTTTATGATTCAAAAGTATTAATTTAAGTACTTACCAATTTGTTTAGTCACTGTTGATATTTTCTCTGCTGATACATTAAGCCCAGTTGATAGTCGTATATCAGTATTTCAGCACCCTGTCCATATGTTACGAGTATATTCATGTTAAAAATCTGACAGTGAGTTTGTTTATTCCCTATCTCCTGGCATATTAATTGCTAAATGAATCATTGTTTCCGATATACCGTATATAGTATGAGGGACTATTTATTTGTAATCAATATATCCTGGTAGGAAGGATCCCATCAAAAACATAAATGTGAAATGAGATCCAAGTTCAATATTATGATATATGCCTTGGTTGTTGACTTCAAGGTCAAAAGAAGTGAGATCTAACTGGGTGCCCAGTTCAATGGTCAGTCCTAAAATTTATTTATATATTCTTATAACTTTAGGCTACAATATATTATTAATTTTACAATATATTATTACATCAACTTGTCTTTAGGTCATATATATAATATATGGGCTAAATTTGACACGTTTAAGTGAAATAGTTTTTGAGTTATGAGGGGTCAAAAGTGACTCCAAATAGTTGGTGTAATATTACACACGGTGTTACTCGCCAGCTTGAATTGGCTTCACACGCCACCGCGTGTGTGGACGAGCTCACGCCTATTTCTCGTCGTTATCGCAGTAGACCCCACAGTATCGGACTTGTGTACTTTCGTGATATTCAGTTTTTCATAAGTTGCTCTCTATCTATATAACTGTCCCCAGGAAACACGGCACCGTTTAATAATATTCATCATGGAAACTACGCGATATCCCTGGAGAAATATTGTTCAGTTTCAGATATATGAAACATATCAGCGCCTACTGTAACTGAATTTTAGATACTCGTTTCCTTATATCTCATATAATAAGTTTGTTTGTATATTCAGTTCACATGAAAATCAGAGGGAAAAGAAAAAAAAAGAAAGATTTGTTGGTATCTGTTTTATATTAGCAATTTACAAAATTATGTACAATATTTACACCAACTATAGATACAGTAATAGTACTGCGCCATACGACTGTGACGTGATAGGCCCCATAGTCCGCTACCGTACGCTCTAACACCATGACAACCTGGTTGGACCTCTTTAACAGGGGTACGCAAATATAGGGTAGCTATGTACATAACATTTTTTAAACTAAAAAAAAATGCATTTCGATTTCTTTTTTTAAGAGTTATTTCTGTAAGAAGCGGTTAAATATTTATTTTAAACAATTTGTAATTTCCCAAGTCAACCGCAAGTTGAAATTGAGACGTTGAGGACGATCGTCAAATATTCTTGACTATCTTGATTAACTTGTTGGCCACCCGTGCACTGAACAATTTATATATAGGTACAATTGTAACAACTCCTTAGTACAGATACACGCAGTAAGTACAACCGCGCGTTGGTGGCTATCAGAGCTCGCCGCCGACCATCCACGTGTACGGTGTCGTGTCGCCACTCTCATAAATATTAACAATTCTGGCAGTCAGAACTGAACCTTAATACTCGTAATACTGGCTTCTTGCGAATGACATACGTAACGGTCGCATTGACTTGGGTATGAAACGAAATTACTTATAACTATACAGATACATAATAATGTTAATAAATAACAATGTGCAGCGTGTACATGGGAAAAAAAAAAAAAAAAAAAAAAAAAAAAATAAACAATGTGTCGAACAACGGAAATAGTGAAATATGTGACTGGCTGTCAGCGACTCATTTGGCTTGAAACTTGCAAATGTATGTGGTATTCTAACTTGTCTGAATTCTACATATATTTGTAACTATGCGAGAAGATCACGTCGCTAATCATGAACCGATATATGATCGGTTGTTTGATTGCAGGTTAGTTTTAAACATTTTTACTACAAAAATAGAATATATAAATTGTATGTCAGTTTAGTAAGTTAATATTTTTGCTATTTATTTGAAGTACGATCACGGGATAAAGCTTCGAAAGTCATATACAGACAAATACAGTTCTATGGAACAAATATAATAGCGACGATACCTGCCTAGCGCTCAGGTACACTAAGGATTATGGTTTAACAGTAAGTACTTCAGAAGTGCCGGATTCATTGTCCACACTGGTGATTGACGACACGTTGAATACACATCTAGTGACGAGTCTCACTAGTACACCTTAGCTATAATGACTTGCTGATTAATTGCTTCCTTGACGAGGTGCTGCGTCAATCATGTATTAGATTGAGTCACAATTTATATCATCGGGAACAGTACAGACACACTTATTTATGTAACGTTGTGTTACGAGGCTATATTTTATCTACACTATTTACAACAGATACTTTGATCTCTCTGAGCACTATTTATACATATATTTAAAGCAGTCCGCAGTACATCGTTTGATGTCTCTTATTACATAAAGACGGCGGCGAAGGTCGTCCCTCGGGCGCTGGAGTGGTAGGCGGCGGCGGCAGCGGCAGCGGCGGCGGCGCAGCTCACAGCAGGCGCGTGTCTGGCGGCGCGTCGTCGTCGCTGTCGACGCACTCGAACCGGATGTGGCGGCCGTCGCCGCGGCGGCGCTCGTCGGCCGCGCCCTCGCCGCACTCCGCGCCGCCGCACCCGCCGCCGCCCGCGCCTTCCTCGCGACCCTCGCCGCCCGCCGCCAGTCACACCTTGTCCTCGCCCGCGCCCGGCGCCGCCGACCGCACGAACTGCAACACGTGCATCTGTCACACGGCTTCGACACGAGCCCCTACTAGCGGTCGACGCTGCATTTTACTCACCGAAACGGTCGTGTTGGTGGTAGAGTTAGCACGAGGCCGGAACGTGAGCACCCGCCACCGTCGTCGCAACTGGGCAAGCACCTCACCGTTGCAGAAACAGTACAAGATGGCGACGATGAGGCCCTGCAGCGAGGTCGTGAGTGCAGACACGAACTCGTACAGAAGCCACCATCGGGCGGTGTGCGCCGGCCGAAACGGCGTCAGCAAGTACTGTAACCCCAGGAGGGGTGCGAGCAGGCACGTGGCGCGTAGCGCGTGCAGCGCAGTGGCGGAAGGTCTCGATGCACCGCCTGCACTAGCGCCGATGCCACCGCCCGCACGCAGCTTAGTGCACAGTACGCGAACGATGTTGCAAAGAAAAGCGAGATTGAGAAGCACCGCGATGCACACGAGCACGGCGAGCTCGGGTCGCGGCGCGCCCTCGTCCATCCAGCAGAGTTGCTCGTCGGCGGCGGCGCGGCGCGCAGCGTGCACGGTCGCCGACGGCACGGGCAGCAGCCAGCCGGCCACCAGCAGCGCGCGCACCAGCCGCCGCTCGGATACGAACGCGCTCACTAGCACCGTGTGTAGGTAGAGGCCCTCGCAGAGCATCCACGTGTAGTTGGTGAGCAGCGCGTACTGCAGGATGCCGTTGAGCGCGCGGCACCAGGCCGGCGACGCGGTGAGCGTCTCTGGCGAGCGCACCACGAGCCCGTACCACGCCAGCCACAGCGCGTTGTTCAACGCGAACGATGCAAATAAGTTCATGTGCACAGTGATGCGCGCACACCGCAGACTCCTGCATACAACAAGCAATGTATGAAATCAGAACTAATCAAGTAAGAAGTAAAGAATTGAATATAAAAATGTTACATACTACAGTAATATTCATCATTATCATATCAGCCGTTACCTATTCACTGCTGAACATAGGGCCTCCCTTACAGACTACCATAAGGAACGGTTCTGAGCCACCTGTATCCACTAACTCTTTGCAATGCAGTTGAGGTCGTCTTATACTATGGTAATATTACCGTATATAAAATTTATTTAAGAGTATACTACTCGTATATACTCAGATGTGTTTGAAGAATAAAATAGGCTAGTCGGTCGAGCTTAAAATTTTAACAGAACTCCTAACATACAAATGTATATTCAAAATAATATTGGTACAATATCAGTGTGTAGTTAGTAGAGGCATTGTATTATACTGTACTTGAAGTACGAGAGGATGCCGAGTGAGATCAGCAACGCCACCAAGGACACGCTGTAGCCGGCCTCGTAAACTGCGATTATGTCGCTAACGTCCTGCGGCAGCAAACAGTACAGATTATGATTTCAATTACTTCTAAATGAATTTGGCTTTTAACCTATTTCAAAAGAGTAAATAACAAGAGGAAACACGGTGTTTAAATTAAAGTGGTACTCGTAATACAAGACTTATAAAAATAAATCACCTCCTTCCAGAAATCTTAGGAACAGTGCTTAGTGTGTTCGTTTAAATTGAACTTATGTAAGTCCGCTGACGATGGTATAAAATGCTAGAAAAGATTAGTTCTTATGACGACATTTTATTTATATAATACTTAAATTGTAAAATTTCTTATTTTTATCTTATTATATCGTATTAAAATTAATATTTCTTATATATATATATATATATATATATATATATATATATATATATATATATATATATATATATATATATATATATATATATATATATATATATATATATATATATATATATATATATATATATATATATATATATATATATATACGTAAGTAATATGTACCTGTTATGAGAAGCGATACAGTCAATATTTCCTTTTACAACAAAATACATTTCTCTTGCAAGCTGGTGTAGTTTTCTTAATAAATAATAATGGAAGCATAAATAAAAGATGATACGCACATCTTCTGGTTTGATGCAGGTGGTGTAGTTGGACCAGGAGCGGTTGGTCTTCGGGTGCTTCCACCAGGTGCCGTCCTCGGTGCATTCCTTGTGCGCGAATACTGCACCAAGCAACCATTACAATTTAGATTGACACGGTCATACTGCACCCTCTATGGGAAATCTTTTCTTGTTTGTATGAAAGTTGCGGTTGAGAAATTATATTGGGAATGCTTTATTTTTTTTTACAACACAGGGGGCAAACGAGCATGCGGCTCACCTGATGGTAAGTGACTAAATGATCACCCACAACACCAGCGGCATTGCCTTTTAAAAAGGAATATACTCTTTTCTTGAAGGTGACTTCTTATGACACATAAATTCATACAACTAACAGTAGGTATAGCAAACATATATTTATTTATTGTTAGGAAGATGAACACTTGCTACTTGAGAGAAGTTACCAATGCGTTAGAGGCCATTTAATTGTTTGGAGGTTTGTTTATAAACTTTATGTTGCAGTATAAACTGCAGAAGAATAATATTAATAGTATAGGGAAATACGAACACTCAGGACTGAAACCGATTACAAAGTCTGGGCAATGTGCGTAGGCGGTAGTGTTGGCAGGAGTGTGAGGCCAACAGAGCCAGGTGTCGAAGGTGCCCTCGCAGTACAGCCCGGGGGGCGGCGCCGTGCTGTTGTTGATGGCTGCGCAGGCAGCCATGTCGCGCGCCATGCGCTCCGGGTCTTCCATGGTGCCGCTCTCCGCTCAGCGTCCGGTACCCGACACCGACACCCGACACTGGGCACTCGCACGCTCCGCCCTCGCGTTAGTCTCAGCACATCTTCACTATTTCTCGCCTGTAAATGTATAAAAAGATAGTGTATATAAATTTCTTTTCCAGAGGGAGACTTTGTACAAGAGTCGTTTGCTTGGGTACCTCTGTCCCATTCGTGTTTTAACCGTAAAGCAGTTGTGTTTGCATGGCTGTGTTTCGGTTTGAAGGGTGGGATATGGCGTGAATTTACAGGGTACAGAGGAATAACACCCGAGTCCTTAGGAATGGCAACGCGTTGGGGGTATCATGGGCAAAACACTCCTATACTATACTCTGTTCAGTATGCTCATGTCTATAGGCGACGGTTACCACTTTCCATCAGGTGGGCCGTCAGCTTGTTTGCCATTCTAAGTTGTATAAAAAAATACCAAATTTATGAAAAAAAAAAAAAAAAAGTAGTGAGTAAACTTTCTTGCGAATGTAGTTGAGGAACTTAAGTAAAGCTTATAAAATTAAAGGAGTATGGTAAGATCAACGACTCACTCGCTTGGTTTAAATTCATTTTGATATAAAACAATACTTAAAATTTTACCCTGTTTAAACGAATGGAGCACATAAAACTTGGACTAAGCGAGGGAATTCTCGTTCTTCACTTACTACTGTATTTATTAGTGTAAAAGCGCTGAGAGCGTTTTACGAGCACGGTTCGAGTATGAGCACTCTTACGGTACTCGACCGCGGTGACGTACGATTTTGAATGTTGTTTTTGCAGTGGTTTTTTAGTTTTAAACTCCGTTGTAGACCTTGTTCTAGGTAATATTTGACGACAGATGTTTAGGTACTAAATAGTCTAACTCTACAAATGAAGCCATCACCGTCGTTGCCATAGAAACTTGGTGACAAGAGTAACTTCACGAATTTACTGTTAACTCCAAATATAAAAGCAATTCAACAACTTTGAAAAAGTTTGAACGTTTAATAATGAAGTGGAACTGGGTACAGATGTACCTATAACACTTTTGTATAACGTGTCAGGATAAAACAATTAATGTAACTAATTACATGGGCCATTACTCAAACTAGAAATTGGATTGTAAAAACAAAAAGCAACAAAATGAAGTGAAAAAAAAAAATCCGTTTAGGGTATCTGCGTACAGGAACAAGTACTGGCAGGAATTAGCCGCGGCGACGGTGCCCCGAGCTCTCGAGTTCATTTCCCTAATGCGGATTGCTTATTAAATCTCTTGCTGTTCATTATTCGTCTTTAATGTAAATATTTAACCACAGAAGCCATTCACTGGAGAATTACTGTCTGCCAGGCTGCTCGCATAAGTAATCATTTTATTAAATAAAATTTATTATTATTTTTAAGCTGTGATAATGGTTCCCGATGATTTAGGTTGCAGAGAGTTGAAAGTAAAAGTAAAGGTCACGGTGCAAGGATAAACCATCATCGTTGATCAAGAAGGTTACTGCCCCTACAATAGACTTAGTTGGGGTCGACAGTTCAAGAAATGTTTGGATTAGTAAAAATCTAATTCGAAATAAATGCAATTGGGAGGCCTATACGCCCAGAGGAGATCTGAAGACGGATGTAACAAGAGCTAATATGACAGTTGCATAGTAGATACAATAAATACAAATAAATTCATCTGAAAAGTTGTCCAGGTAAACAGTCAACGTCTTCGAATATACTCGTAGCATTTTAAATTTATATTATTTCTATAAGGACACCTAATAGAGACTGTTCGATTTTTATAAGATTTCTAAATAATACTCTCGTTCGTTCCAATAATACTCTCCAATTATCCTTCCCCTCTCACCGTACTGGTTACGCTTCAAACTCTTTTCTCCTACATTCTTCACGACTCTGGAACGCGCTTCCTGATGCCATTAAGAGACTACCGACTAAACCGTCTTTCAAAAAAAGCGTTAACGCACACTTTTTATTTTTATCCGAGCAGTAAGTGCTTTATATTATTCTCAATTTCGTGTATAATATAGTATATGTCATATATGTGTAAGTATATTTGTTATTTATATATATTTATTCGTTTATATATGTAATTTTAGTATGTATGTATATCAATAATTAGTAGTACCGCATTCGAGTATTCTAACACTTCCCTATGGTTGACTGGGAGAGAATGCTTTTAGCATTAAGTCCGCCGTGTACACATATTTGTACTAATGAATAAATAAATAAATAAATAAAAGATTTATGTATGTGTATGTGTAGTACAGTGAAAAGCACAACTAATGCGATTCTTAGTGTCCATCTTAGTACTAAGAAACACCAAGTTTTGAACTTTCACTTGACAAGAGCCAACAGAGACCGGCTGTGAATTGCGTCGGGACAATTAATAATCTGCGACGACGCCGACGGCTGGTGGCGGCTCGTGGTAAACAAGCCTACGCCTCCACTAATCACGGGCCAATATTTGCCTACAATAATAGCCTGTCTCGTTGTAACCTTATCCATGCGTAGCAGGGCGCGACGCGGTAGTTCTCCAAATATTCATTGGTTATTACGTCCATTGGGGACTAGCTGTGTGTGATTTTTTTATATCGATTTGAACTATCTTTGTGATTGCCAATACTCGAAGATTAACCACCAATATTACTACCAGAAATTCTACAACCCTCCATATTAGTCATCAATTTTCGACTGTCATTTTGTGCGTGCACGTTTTGCGACACGTGTTACACCTCTAGATGAGGCGTCTTTAGATAAATTATTACGTTGCCACCCGGAGCCTAGTGTTTGTTGTGCGAATTTCGCAGTGTGGGCGCAGAATGGTTTCCCTGACCGATTTGTTGGCAGTCACACACATAATGACGGTAGCGAAATTAAACATAATAAATCAAATAACCAGTAATTAACAACTTGCAAATTCAGATCACAACGCTTTGATGAAGATATCGCATAAAAAGTAGAATTAAGATTTTACACTTTTTTTTTGGAAATTGTTTAACATTGTATTGTGTATTGTTAAATCCGAGAACATTTGGTTGTAGTCAAAGCTAGTGTGTTTACAGTGAGGTGCGGCGCGCGGCTGGACGCGGGACATATGGCTCACACATGAGTTTGACGATGATATATTACGTGCTAAGTCACACGATGTTACACTAGTATCATGTATAGGTTACAAACCTATATAATCGCCTATATGGTCGCTAATAAATAAATAAAGAAAAAAACTCCATTACTATACACTAATTTCTAGCAATAGAATTAAAAGAGCTAATGGCTACGTTTTATTCTTAGAAAATATTCACCTTATGAATACTTTATGAAAAAGGATTCGATAAAAATATTGTCAATCTTAATTCTTTTCATTGTCTGAAAGTACGAACTGCATATATTTTAAGTAACCTTCATATGTTTTTTAATATAACCCAGATTGCCCCGCAGAAGCTTAGTCATTATCCGGTAAACAAATCGAGACTTGCCATAACAGAAAAAATAAAACGGGCCGAGTCAAGGACACGTGTAGAACCTTACCCGTGTAAATATTGAAATACTATATACTCGTATTTATATATACTTATATGTATATTTTACTGTATGTATTTTGGTTATAAGAGATTGCGTATTCATCTAATGAATATCCGTACTTACATATTTCGGATATGAATGAGCGATGGCCAAGAATCTGGTACCCTGTGTAGACGGCTGGTACCGTGGCTGAGTTTCTACTATAAATCTTATTAGCTGATTCCATTTGCATAAAAAAATATAGTGTTCCTATTGCTACTTTTTCTTCTAGAACTTTACTGCTACATGCTACGTGGCAATTTTCTTCAATATATTATTTTCAATAGACTTTATAAGGAAAAAGATTGAGCTACTTTTTACACGTTATGTGATATCTTCGCCAGTTTTGCGCGCATTTATATTTTTTTCTTGATGGATACGAGTTTCTTCAGTTTCTTTCTAGTAACACATAATACTTCCATATTGATTTAATACTAATTGGTCCCAATTACGTACTAAATTTTTTGCAGTTGCTGCATTTATTTAATGAAAATCTTAGTATTACTAGCATTCAGAGTCGGGCGGCTCAAATCATTAATGACCAGCACCTTACTATCCGACTTGACCACTGAAACTGCTTAGAGATGTTGCATTTTTGTGCATCTTCTATCGAATTTATCATAAGGAGTGCTATGAGGAATTGTTCGGATTGAAAACTGTTGCTGATTTTCACCACCGTACAACCGGCCATAAACTAAAGTTTCATCCCAACCATCTGGACGAGTGGTGGTCTTCCACTGTGCGTTTTTCAAGGTACTTTCTTCCACGTACAACCACTCTTTAGAGTCGACTTCCAGCAGCAGTATTTCTGAACCGATACGACATCATAACTTTCAAGAAAAGAGCATATTACTTTTTAAAAGGTCGGCAGCACACCTGTAATGACTTTGGTGTGTACCTGTATGCGGGTGATCATGAGCGGCGGTAGTCACTTACCATCAGGTGAGCCGCATGATCGTTTGCCCCGTGTTGTAAAAAAATTTAAAAATAATAATCACTTGCAATATGTAGGTACATGATTATTTTTCCAATTCCAAAGTTAAATTCCTTGAAAGTCAATTCTCTGTAATGACGAAATAATTTTGTTATTACAAAGAAATTTAGATACAACGATTCACATTTCCAACTCCCAAAGTCGAATCACTCATATGTGGTTCCTTTTATAACTTTTTTCCTTACAGCATTTCCTGAATTCCCTTTTTATCGTTCTATTTCGACAGAACTTATCTAAGGAACTTGATGGCGAGAGCTTCAGTTGCTTCAATTATATGTTGTCATATGGATTGTGATATGAAGCACTGTTGCGATTATCACAACAATATATCGGTACAAATACGCTTCGTTACATTGCAGATAAAGAAGACACTTGTGAATCCAGTTAATTATAAATAATGATGAACATAAGTAAATTAGATTTCGTAGGCGATTTCTTGTGAAATTGTGATGTAATTTCTAAGAGGTAATTTAATTATTATTCATTTTTCACGTTCGCAGCTGCGGCGCTACAGGTGAATGATAATACAATTACTGCCTTCATTAAGAACATCGCAGCTCTGTAGGTATTGTGCAAAATTATCGACGCACTAATTTATCACCATATTGTACTTCTACTTATAGGTAAATACCAGAGGATATGCTCATGGTCGGGTCAGCATGAATTAGCTAAGATAATTATAAAGTCTAAGCCACTATCATTAGGAGGCAAAAACTCGACATAAATTAGGTTGTCCAATCCCATTTGGGATTACAGTCGTACGCCAATGTATATTATTTGTCTCTCGGGGCTCAGGGTCAGGGTAGTGCGTGCAGTGGGCGACCGATGGCAGCTAGCGGGTACATAAGTACCCGCAGAATGCGAGCGAGTGCGGTGTGATAGTGTCCGTCAAATGGCCAATTATGTCATAAAGCCGGCCGAGTATATCGTCCCGTTTATGAGCCATATACAAGACCTTATTGGATCCGATGATGGGCGCAACGTGTGCCGTCTGCCGTCGTCGCTTTCGGACCGAGACACAGAATGTGCATGTACACGTTCTACTGTGCTTTCGATGTAATTCTTACCAATATGACCATTTTTAGGATGGGTGACTCGTGGGGCTTTTAGGTAAACAGAGAAAATTGTAGTGAGTGTTGAGTAATAAGAGTAGTGAAGCCGAAAACTGAACATCCTCGGCGTATTTGTATTTAGAAGACGATGGTTGTTACAAAAAAAAAAAAAGAATTATCATTTATAAAATAAAAGTCACAAATACTTAGTCATAATAGCAATGTACAGGGGGGACGAGATCGTTAGTAATGGAGATCTGACAACTCCATTGCTCTATACCTTACCAAGTCGACCTCCATGCGGTCCCACTTGGAAACCATCGTACTGAATTTCAGCGTATACCGTTAGTGCAGGCAGGGTTGCCATTAAAAAAACTATATAACGAAAAACTAGATGAGATCCTACTGAACGTTGACTCGCAGTGTATATAATTATCAATTATTTCACAATGAAACATATGCCCCCAGCTACCCACCTACGTCAGAACATCAACGACAGTCGGTGTGAAGTCAGCAGTTAACAAAAGAGCAACGAAAACATCACAACCATTAATGCCAGAATGCCACAATTAATGAGCCAAAAGAGTTCTTTGAGCTAGGAATAAATCGGCAAGAGCACTTTTAATATTTTCATAAAAATGTTGAAAGTAAACTCATTATTGCGAAGGCAAGGTTATGGTGCTGTCGTGTGGAGCTGTCCACGACGGGCGCTCGCCGGGCTCGAGGTGGTGGTGGTGGCAGAAGGGGGGAGGGGCATTGCAACGTCAAACGGGAATAGAGTATGAGCCATACGTAAGTGAGTGAAGCAATTATCTTAGTAATTAATTCGTCGATATTCATTAGGGGCCGGGCAGGCCCCGTCTGTACCGACTACGCGCAACGACAGCAGCTCAGCTCGTTAAGGTCTGGTCGCCCGACGTCATACGTTATGCATATACGCAGCATATAGGTGGGTATCTATTTTTACAATTATAGTTTAGTATTGCAGTTAAAGTGAAATTTACTGGCGTTTTGTCGTCATATTAATAAAGTTAGAATGGCAAACAAGCTGACGGCTGTAACGGTCACCTATAGACATGAGCAGCACCATGGACATAACAGAATATACTGTGTCATCCATTATAGCCCTTATGGGTTTTTGTTCCTAAGGACTAGGATGTTATGCCTCTATATTTTATAATTTCATTGTCATGTATTCTTCAAACAGAAACACAACCATGCAAACACAACTGTTTTACGGCAGAAATACTAATGGGACAGAGGTACCAGACGGTAGTAGACGACTTTTGTACAAAGGTGTAATTAAAGTGTTAAAGTAACGATGCGGCGAGTATATATATATATATATGTATAAATAAATACGTGCTGCTCGCGTGCCTGTTCGGTAGCTGGACTCCTGCCGACAGCAACGCTAGTTGAGCTCGTATATGTGTTTGGGACGTCTGCAATAAACGGTGGGAACATTATTGTATGTTGTTGTCGTATGCGAGCGAACATATACATAAATCAACTTCCATAAAGAGCACGCTATCAAAAGTTAAGCCGTATATCAACCAGCGAACAATCGCTCGTGTGTGCGCAAGGCTTGTGTGAAGTTCAAAACATCGTAAGCAGGCAGGTATGCACCTATGAAGAATATGAATATGTCTGAACATCACATCATACAAGCTGTGTGACGTGATGAGAATGAAACGTACACTACTTAAATTCGGGAGGAAGCTGAAACGCGAGGTGCGTATCGCGTGATACCCCTTCAGTACTAGGAGCTCTTTAAGGAGATCGTATCTTTCCGTGCCTAATAATTACGTCTCGCGGTAAACAATAAAAACGATTAGTTCGTACACGCAGCCAATTGCTTCAATGTTAAATGAATAAGCGATCGACTGACGTGATTAAATAAGTCTACCCGGTTATTAATTTTGCAAAAAAGTAATGTGTACTAGGTAGCTTTTCCCACCATTGCATCTCTATTAAATTAGATGTACTTTTATTCAAGTTATGTCGGCTCTTATATATTTAACTAGAATGCGATCGAATCTCTCACGGATATTATTAATAATTTATTTAGGTACATATGTACTTTACTGTCTAAAGAGGTTGTAGTCGCCGCTCTGTTCAAAGCGCACGCTGCGCTAATTTGAGAGGAAACAAGAGTATCGTGTCAAAAGGGAACCCATTAAATTCTATTTAAAAGCATTTAACTACATAATTTTACTAACTAGACAGAACTGCAGAGTAATATCCAAATTAACTGTCGTCGTACGATATCGTTTAATAAAATGGAGTACATATGAGGTGTATATTAATAGACACCTATTAGTTTACCTCTAACGAAATTTGTCTACATTGTAACGTGATTTGCCTTTAGATCTAATAAAGCATAGAGTAGTACAGCGACGAACCTATTATTAAACTCCGCTATATATAACACTGTTCTGGAGCAGTCTTCGAGACAAACAATGTTATCAGTAATTGTTTTCGAAGTGGATTACATTTAAACTATGATTTTGTAAGTAGCTACGCGGTTGTGCTTGTCAGATGTTTGCTGCGGCACGCTGTCATTTACAATTATGACGCGGAACTAACGCAAATGTAATTGGCTTTAGTGTCGTATAATTCACAAAAATAACTGAAAAAGGAAACTTTAAAAAAAATTCGTTAAAGAAATAGATATAGATCTAGATATTCGCGATATAGATCTAACATATTTTACAATTGGTGAGTTTATCACATCGCTGATTGTAAAATAATCATAAAAATCGATTTACGATTGCTAAAAATATCATATAATATATATGCACAATATGCGGTATAAACGACAACCGTTACTTTTCTGAATCACATGATAATGTCGAAAACAAAATTAAATAGATTGAAAAGAAGTGGACTAGACTAGAGTCCAGCATTTGGTGGTGTTGTTGCGTACCTCACTATAATTGGATCAGAGTGAACGCTTCCACCGAACCCTGTCGCGTCCCATTAGAGCACTGAGTCAAGTCATGTAATATGTACCTATTAGTTCGCTTCGGCGGAGAATTTATTTTTCCATCAATGCATTCAAGCATATATTTATTTTCCGCAAGAAATTCGTAAGGATGTTCCTGTATTTTTCGTATCTTGCACATAATATATTAATAGCGTATCTGGGCGCGTTATAATTTAGTGATTAAGTACCACAATTTGCAACAGCTCTTGTATCAGACATTGCATTGTTTTATGACCCTAACAGGCCAGTATGGAACACATATATTATCTCTACTTCACACATATTCTACTTTGTTCGTCCATAGTTCCATATACTCTTTCGCTATGGATGCCATACTCCAAATTGACCCATTGTTGTCCTGGTTTTACCTGTGACATGAACTATATCGTTTTTATACAATTTGGTATGGGCAAACGAACTGTCGCTTCTGTTTATGTTTATATAAAACGTTTATCAATGACATCACACGTATTGCTCGTGTGTTGCTACTCAGGAAAACCAGACTCTTATGTATCCTTACCCAGTAATTTCGCTCACATATCTATTCTTTCAAACTTAAACATGCACCAAGCATGCTGCATCTGCTTGATGACATATGAACAAGTCGGAAGATATATTCACCTTCCTCTTACGATATCGAGGTAAAGCAGCGCTGACATATTGTATTCTCACGTGTTAGGAAATTAAAAAAATATCTATTTATGGAAAGGTGACACTCTAAAACACCGGTTCGCGACACACGTTTGACATCAGTCTGTCGAAGGAAATCACCGTTCGTGTTAATTTCAATAAAATGGATGGCAAGAGTTCAAATAAGGCAGCGGCAGGCGGAACATAGCCGGGGGATATGTTCATTTCCGAAGCAAGCGAGTCGCCACTGAGCCAGCGACGCGACACTTGCGGAAATTGGACTGCTGCCTTCTTTTTTTCACTATAATAGCAAATATAACGATGTTAAATTAGGATAAATTGATCAGATCTAGATGAAAATTATTATTTTTAAAAATAAATGTACAACAGAGATTTTTATAAAAAACCAATATCGTCAATGAAAAGCGCTCTTTTGAAATATGATTTCGAAGCAGAACATTTAACACTCAATTGATGGAACTGATGACTCTACACAGAATATTACATTGTACGGAGGAAACAATGTTGTACAGTGAGAATTGACGAATATTCGAGTTAAACGTATATCGCGAGTGTACACGTAGATATGTACATACACAAAGAATGCCACAATAAATATTTTACATACTGGGAGCCTGTAAATATCTACCTACCAGATAATATAGAACAATGATTATACAATTATCGAGATACCGATCGGATCATAATAATTGTAAACAGAAAATAAAACTAATTAGTTCCTTTGTTCGTAAACTCGAACTGCTCTGTTAATGATGACAAATAAATTTCGGTTGCTACGTGACAGCACATAATAATACAAGCCGACAATGAAAATAAAGAGTAGTATTTATACAGCGATCAAATTTCATCATACACATATCTATCGACGTGTTGTGGGTATGAATATTGACCCGCAAATAATGTTTATTATTTATTTCATAATAAGGTTTATTTTGGATAAATATAATTGTGTTACTAACACTCGCGTACACTCACGTAACACGCGCTGCGTGCTTGATATAAGGACCTTTATTACCATTAAAAACTAACCATACATTCTATAAATTCGGTTTTGAATTAATTGTCCGAATAATGTTTTTTATTGTTTATAAAACAGGCATGAGCCTAAAAAATGTGGACAGAATTTTCTACTGCCATATCTATAGGACGTCTTAATTTAAATATGCACCTTTTAAAGCAGCTACTAGTTCCAGCGTTGATTTCAACGCTTACGAGTTGTCTTTCTCCTTGAATTTTACCTCTACTCTCAGACCGCCATTTAGAGAGCGCTTGGTAAATGTTTTCCATCGTGGTTATGAAACGTGAAATTTTCCTTATTAGACGGGTTTACTTATTCAAGATTCTAGTAAAAGGAAGAAGCCCTCACTCGCTTATTCTTTAACTTAACTAATCTTATGTTTTATTTTACTTAACTTGAAGTGGGACATAAACGATGATTATTATAATAACAATCCATGACTTGTTCTGTGACTTATTGGTTAAAGGTGACGTTATTGTTAGTTGCAATCTAAATATAGAGCTAAGATGCAGCCGTGTATGCAACACAAGATTCTGTATTGTGTGGCAAGTTATTGAATATGTATGTAGTGAGCCGGGTCATATGGGGCGTGCCCCACTTCTCTGAACAGTCTCAAGGGACTTGTTACAGAGTGTAATAAAATCGGTACACAGTCGGAATTCCCGCAGCTGCTCCTTACGAGTCAGTATTTTGTCATCGATGGTAATTCAATATTTATGAGACCTAATCGAAATTAGTTACGTAATATGATTAATAAGGGTCTTCCATATGAAATAGAGTAGGAAGTAGCACGACAGCAAGTAATAGCAATCAGAATTATTACAATTATTCTTTGTCGACGAAGAGAACTTCTTAACACCAGAAACCTTATAATCAGTAACTGTAGCCACAAAATAACTTAGTAAATTATTGAATTGAAATGTATGCAAATTAGCACAGGGCTTGTTTATATCAAGCTGGTGAACAGTAGGAGAGGATTTTTGAAAATTACACTCAAAACCAAACACCAATACTTTTTGTAGATAAGGCACTACTGGACTTATATACTGAAGCAAGACATACACAATTATACAATCTAATAAATAAATGAGGTTTCAGATATGTGCACAGGGCACCTACATTTACGGCGCACAATCAGCGATCAGGTGAAGGCAGTTCGTGGCAGTTAGTTTTAAGTAAACATGGCGAATGATTATTGGATTTGTCCCCAAACAACACATTAGAGCAAGTCGCAAGTGCCGGCGGAGGGCACTATGTTTCCCGCAAATTAGATTTATTGGGACACGACATCGTTTGTTTCCCTCGTGTTTTCTAAGCTTTTGTCAGGTGACTGATTATTATGTGACAGCTAATGTACCGTAGATAATTGATGAACTCGTTGTTTGTCACAAAATTAGTCGAATATCATGAGATATATAATAAGCAGGACGTGCGGGAGCCAAGGTTAACGTTATTAAATACATCTAAATCAAACCACCAAATAAGTCTATGCAAACACAAGACAAATGTAAATGTAGTTATAAATTCGTAAGTAATCAAAATTAAAGTGTTATTGGACAACAAAGGGCCGGATACACAGAAGCTTGTAAACTCAGGCCGAATGCGACAGAGGAAGGGACTGTGGCTCCGATACTTTAAATTAGGTTGCAGGGAAGTATTCGTATGCAGATGCAGCGAATGGCGAGAGATTCTCGTACTGAGTAGCAGGAGTTTATATTCTAGTAAGGACGAAGGCATACGAGGTGAATTGATGTAGGGGCAAAATCACGTGTGATGTTACTGTATGT